CCCGCGCGGCCCGCTCCGCTGCCGTCGCCCCCCATGCGCGGGGGTCGCTCCGCTGGGTCCTCGGCCTTGGCGGCGGCGGCGGAGGGGGAGGAGGCGGCACAGGACGGGCGGCTCCGGGCTCCGGCGCGGATGGAAGGTCCTCGCGTGGATGTTTGCTGAGCGGAGGCTGTGCAGTAGGCAGGGCTGGTGGGTCGGCCGGTGTTTCTGATTTGTGTGTGTGGGTGCGTGTGCGTGTGTGTATGCGTGTGTGTGTATTGTTGTGTGGCGCACGGGCAGGACTGGCGTGTGCCGGAGCCTGGGATCGCGGCTCTGCCTCCTCTGCAAAGTCTGATCCAGGATTATGGTCTAGGTGAAGGGAGAAGGCTCTTGCTCACCCCAAGGACTGGTTATGCTCGGGTTTTGATTGCGTTCGGGGGTTTCTGCAGCCGCGGACGCCTCCCCCTCCCCGGCGGCCCTCCTCCCTTGTTTTCCGTTAGAAACACGGGCAAGAAAATAAATGTATTCACTGGGTGTCGCAAGAGCAAAGGCTAAATAATCAAAGGTAACAGAAGCAGCAAGGCGAAGAGACCCGCACTGTATCCTGCTCCCCCACTCCCAGACCTGCCCTCCTATTTATTGGCGAGACCTCCCTCCCTCCCTCTCGGTGCGACTGCGTCCTGCGAGTGTTTAATCCCGGGAAAAGTGCAGCCGTCCAGCCATGGTGGTTTTCAATGGCTTGCTGAAAATCAAGATCTGCGAGGCGGTGAATCTGAAACCCACAGCGTGGTCGCTGAGGCATGCGGTGGGTCCCAGGCCGCAGACCTTTTTGCTGGACCCTTACATAGCCCTCAATGTGGACGACTCCAGGATCGGGCAGACCTCAACCAAGCAAAAGACCAACAGTCCTGCTTGGAATGATGAATTTGTCACCGACGTTTGCAATGGCAGGAAGATAGAGATGGCTGTTTTCCATGATGCCCCCATTGGGTATGATGATTTTGTGGCTAACTGCACTATACAGTTTGAGGACTTGCTGCAGAACGGGAGCCGCCACTTCGAGGACTGGGTGAGTGTTCGCGCTGTAGATACATACACGTACATATGATTTTCAGTGGCACGGCTCTGGATGCAACATCTGTCTTGCAGAGCTAGGTTGCCAAGGGCATGTAATGGCTCTGAAGGCTTTTCATTATTTCCATGCTTTGTTATACTCAGATAGTCATGGTTACTGTGTATCTAATGCATGTGGTCTACAGGCAAGGGAGGAAAGAAAAATATGCTGAATCTAAGGAGGAGATGTATAATTACCACTTCAGTTTCTGAAATTACATTACATCAATACAACTCCAGTTATCTTACTGTGTTTGGAAAACCCCAACAAAATGCATCCATACAGAACATTACTGCAAAACCCAGATCCAGCACTTAGACTGAGTTCATCATTTCGGTGTGAATACTCTTGGTCAGCCTGGCATTGACAAGCCTTAAAAATCCAGACCTGACCTCTGATACGAGACACTTTGGGGTCTTCATGTCACTTGAAAGCTCACTGCATCAACACTTATGTTCCTCCTTCCCTCCCCCAGATGATCTACACCTTTATGTGTAGAGCTAGTGCAGTGCTTCTTCAAATGCCTGAAACTGATAAAAGGGTCCTGGTGGATTTTGGCCCCAACCAGACAAATTCTGTTGCCTTTATACACAACGTGTCGTACAGCTTCTAAGGTGTCTTAAAGACCCAGAAGCTAACATGCCTCAGTCAGAGTACAAAAACCCTGGAGAATGCTTGGTCTGACATTCTCAGGTACTGTGATTTAACATGGAAAAATGAAACAAACAAAAAAAGAAACACAGGAAACGTGAATATGCACATTTCACATTTCTGCAATTAAACAGTTAAATGGTATATCTTTTAAATAAGATGTATAATAAAGCAATAGTAACTGTCTTCTCATTTTAAATGTGCCCTGCTTGACCAGCTCTCTGAAATGTGTATGCTCATCTTTTTGTGTATTTATTTGTTATGGTCAAGGATACTAGGCAGGGCAATATTTCTTTGGCAAACAGACAAAGAACCCAGGACCACAGTAAAAATAGTGAGAGTTAATAGCTCTGAGTTTCATGTATTCTTTGGGGCTTCTTTACTTAATGCAGTGGTATAAAGAGATGTCAGAATGATGGAAAGGCGTGAAAGAATTAGGCTCTATTTATGCTGATGAAGAGCTGAATAACATTACTGTTAAAACTTTTATCTTTACAACTTTAAAATATTTTTCACCTCTGCTACGTATATTACATCATGGTAATTAGGATCTAGATCATTCTGATGCTGTATAAAAGCTACACATTAGTAAGCTCAGATGGTAAAACTGGGTGATAGGCAGAGGCAAAATAGCCAAATCAGGAAAAGACAAATGCAGCAGTATTGCAGATGTCCTTTACCTGGATTGAATGATAATCAAGTTGTGGCTTTCCTGAAATCAGAGTGAGTTTCATCTTTGAGACCAATGGGATAAGGATGTTATCTCAGGTTTTTAGTGAAAGAATAATAATTTCGTATGTTCTTTTTGCGTGTGGTACATGTTGTGAGTTTGTTGCCAAATCTGCAAGGACCTTGCAGGTTGCAGATGCCAAGTTTGAGTTTTGGTGGGGCTGGTGTGCTGGGGTACATCCTGGCTCTGATTTTTAAGGTGAACTCAAACATCTGAACACCTTCCCTAGATAAACAGTGGAACTGAACAGATCAAGGACCATTGTAAACATGATTTGGTAGGAACTACTTAGCTGAATCAGATAAATGCTGTGTTTTACTGCACCAGGATTCATTGCTGTCCAGCATTCACTGGGTGGGAGGAGATGAGGGAGTGACGAGGCTTGCTGTCTGTTGATGTGACAGAATTGAGGACATGGCAGTGGATCGTAACTGGTCAGCTCAATATAATGCAGCTTCTGAAGCATCGCTTACCTTGTTCGGTGTTGTAAATCCTCACGGTTTGGATTGTGTTTGTGCAGTACGTATAATACACAGCGTATACCACCCTCCCTGTATCACAAAATTGGTGCAGAGGCAAGTATTTATAGGATTGTGCTTTACCCTTTCCAAAATCTGCCCGTTTACTGAACGTGTCACTGTAATTGTAATACCGAGTGCATTTATTGAATTGTTAATAGATAGGGACCTTCAGAGAACTGGCTCTTACAAAATCACATTGTTTTTTTGTCTGATTTCACTGAGTTAAAATAAGGCCTGTGGCCATGACATCTCTATAGAGTCCATAGTGAAGTAAATAGATTTATTGGCATCTTCATCAGTGTCTGGAGTCTATATTAAAACCTGAAAAAGAGAAGTCGTCTATGAAATGAATGGGTTTCACAGTACAAGGAAGGTGCACGTGGCCTAAACCAAGGTTAGAGTAAGACCGTCTGGTAAGATGCAGTTTCTTCTGTTTAATAAGAGGACTAATTCCTTCATTTCACTCTTGGCATTTAAGGCAGATATTTTTGTAGTGCTCTTTCCCAGCTTTGTAACAAGCAAATTAAAAGCAGCAGTCACAGGAACATGTTCCTCCTTACTGTCTGAAATATCGAATAAATGCAACCTAAGAAACTCTCTTGGAGACTGTAAGGTCACCTTATGCCATTCTGAGGGTTGCCCTTTAAGCAGTCCTGAGAGTTTGAACTGGCTACCGTATGCTTGTTGAGTGTGTTTGGTGTAATTGCACTGCTGCCCCTCTTTACCTTCAGAATGATGCAACAGTTTTTGCAGGACTGGACTGTCACTATTTAAACAGGTTTGAGAAAATGCTCATGTGCTGAGAACAGCTCTTGTCAATATATTAATAGCTTTAATGCTTTCAATCTCGTATAATGCTGCATGTATTTTTGTAAGGAAACTTCAATATTTGTAGTATCTGCACTAGGGTCAAGGTTACGTTACTTATCCTGTAATATATTTCTAGGTTCTTGTCAGAAGTCCAAAATGCAAAAAAGACTTGCAAAGAAATAGTGTTCTTTTTTTTTTTTCCCCTAAAAAGAAACTTTCTCTCTTTAGCCAGCTCACCTACTTTGATTTGTTTTTGCCATTGTGCAAATCCTTGTATTTTTTTCTAAGAGATGAGTTTTTTAGGAAAATACTGGGTATTTTTCTCACTGTTAAGCCTGTGCTATATACTGATGCCATGGTTACAGTGGAAACACGGATGATAAACAAGTACAAAGCTTGAAATCATGATAGCGTCTATTGTATTAGGACAAGTCAGATAAATATGCAACATTCTGGTTCCTTTTATCTACAGAGTATTCAGCAGTTGTAAAAATTATTTTTAACCTTATGATATGTATACTCCCTGAATATATATATTAAAAAATCAAAGTTGTGGCCTAAAACAGTGGTTCAGATTTTACTGGATGGAAGCTTTTAAACAAAATATGTACCTTTTTTTTTTTTTTAATGATCAATGTAAAATATTTGTTTGGGTTTCTAGAAAAGGTATAGTGACAATTAAAAAGATGGCTGCTTTTCCAGTGGTGCATCAATACAGACATAGCACGGTAAAAGTGTCAGTTTTGCAGATTTTTTCAGTCATGGCTACACTGCAGTTTTAAAGAGAGCTTTGGATTTATGACATTACAGGCTTTTCTGTAAGTGCATAAAATGTTATATAGAATGGCATAGAGTATTTGAGAGAATGTTGGTGAACTTACACTTTGAAAAATATGAAATACAGAACAATAAACAACTTGCAAATTCTGATTGAAAAACAAACTAGTAACATGAAAGCTGTGGCTGTATTTTTTTTTTTAGTTAGGTTATTCAGGTAATAATAAAGTATGTCTTTATCTAGCCTTCTCACATCTGGCATATGTAAATGTTGCACTTGAGTTAGTAATGCAGCTACATTTTAATCAGAATTGAGATCAGGAAGGAAAATTCCGTTGATATTTAGCCTTGTGGTTACACTCCTGTGAATTAGCACAATCAATGTTTACGTGTTTGGATGATTGGTAATCTGGGTTCTGAGTTCAAGTCCACTTTCCAGAGTTGACAGTGGATGAAATCAGTGTGATCGGACCTATGCCAAAGACACCATCTAAGGGTCTTAGCCATTAGCCTGCCTGTACACAAGAAAACCTATTGAGTCGTCCTAAGAAATCCATTTGCAGGCAGAGTAGCAGGACTCATTAAATCAGTTCAGGACATCACAATGTTTAGCAAGAAAAACCTCTATTTCCACTGAAAATATTTTACAGCTATATTTAGGTTAGTGAAACAAGTTTAATTTTCTGTTGTCTTAAAAAAATCCCTAATGCTGTTAGGAAAAAAATAAAACACAGGTTTCAGTGAGCTTTTCTTTGCAAATCCTAGATCTCTTCCATACTGTTTTTTTTTCTCTTCAGTGCTGCTTATTAAGATCTAAATTTAAAACATTATACTTTTTTAAAAGCATCCCTTCATATTTCCATTTTATCAATGTGAAGTTAGTCATGCAACTGTGCCACCATTGCATAAAGCAAGTTTATTATGAATTAATATATCTCAATAACAAGTTGATGATGAGTTATGGGAAATGGCATGGGGAATAAGTACACTCTTTTACATACTTGTTGAACTGTTGAGTTACATATTTTTATGTCATGTTTATAGTGTACTATTGAAGAAGTTTTCCTATTGGAAAGACTAGGTCTTTAAGTTGCAGTCTATACAGTTAGACACCTAGGTTAACGGAGCTCTGAATGTCACCCAAAAGGCAATAGTGGGGGGTGGGGATTAAAACTCTTCTGAGTCCTTGGTCCTGTGAGCTGTCCATGGATGGGAGGAGTAGAACTGTCTCCTTCCAGCACCTCTAATCTGAATTAACTGGGAAGACTACTTAGGTGCTTATCAGAGTTTCACTTTTTGTTTGGTTTTTTGTGGTTTTGTTTTGTTTTGTTTTTTTAAAATGCCATTTCTGTTGCTTGAAATCGGAACTCCTTTCAGTCAGCAGGTGATCTGTTGTAGCTGGCAGACAGAGAGTGGAATTGTCATCATTTTAGTGCAGGTCACCCTGTGCATTAACCTCTTCTTGT